TTGTATTTACAAGTGATTATTTATTCCTAACACTGATACGCATTAATATAATAATTGCGGCGCAAACGCGTTTCGCCTTGTATAATAGCTCTTCCGACACACACATACACATACAAATGAACAAAAAAAAAAAAATAAAAATACCTTCTTGCCATTGATCTATTAAGGAAGAGTTTTTCGTTGTCACTGATGCGTTCTTTTCTGTCCTTTCCGATGCCTAGATGCTCGAATTCGAGCTAATCACAGTTCATATATCTTCTACTTTTTCTTTTTTTCACGACTTATTTGTGTAAAAAAAAGAGCACTGTTATTGTCGGTCTTATATGTAGATCGCTTCGGAACCCTTGTTGCTTTGGTGAGCGCCGCCGCTGGCGCCATAGGCATTCGGGGGCGAAGCCATGCAGTCGGACCAATCGCTGTTTGAACGGGGCGAACTTGAGGACCAGTGACCCGGACTATCTGGCGATGGCGTTGGAAAGCTCTCGGGCGCTTGCATGAGATGTTGCGGCGTAACATCAGGTCCGGAATGATGAGACGGCGGCGTCAAGTACTGGTAATATTGTTGCGTTTGCTGTTGTTGCTGCTGCTGTTGTTGCTGTTGTGTATTTTGCTGTTGTTGTTGCGGCTGCTGTGGTTGTTGTTGCTGCTGCTGCTGCTGTTGCTGCTGTTGGATTTGCTGTTGCGTTTGCTGCATTTGTTGTTGTTGCTGCTGCTGTTGTTGTTGTTGTTGTTGCTGCTGCTGCTGCTGTTGGCTCGAGGAATATGGTAAATTCTCGAAATCAAAACCTACTGGTGGCATACTGCCATGTTTTTGATGCGTCGCCTGCCGCATGGCGGCGATATGCGTTGGCGAAGTGGGCAATGACGGCCTGCTCTTCGCTGGCGATGGCGAGCCCATGTAGCTCGCTTGTGGAGAAAGAGTCATGTTAGACTGCACTGAATGTGGTGGTGACTGATTGCTGTACGGCGGCGATAATGTGTTCACCATACCCTGTTGCTGTCGCTGATGCGGTGCTAGAAGTTGGTCGTGAAATGGCAGCCCATAGTTGCTCGCGAAGGTATCTAGACCAAGTTGTTGCAGGCCTTGCATCGATTGGCTTTTGATACAATCCTCGTATGGTGGCGGTTGTTTCGCCGTCGCCGTATGAGCCACTAGGGGTAACGCATTGCTATAAAGACTCGCGCTATCGTACGGGCTTGTCGGTAAGTTGCCTTCGGCTCCTTCTGCTCCCTGCGGAATCTCTTGGTTTGGGGGTTGAGCGCCGCGCGGTTTAGCCGGCGGTTTCTTCACCGACGGTTTTCGCCTTACCATCACTACTGCGCCGCCGCCCTCCGACTCTGGGCTGTTTGGGTTTCCCGTGCCGCCTGCTTTTGGCCGTTTCTTTGATTTGGTCTGTTTCGGCGCTGAACCGATTACCGTAGGATGTGTGATTAATTGAGGATGATTCGAAGATCCTGTAAAAAAAGACATTACATTATATGATTCGAAGAATGTTAATAATACATATTTATAAGAAACTTTTTCAAAAGTGAAATGTGACATTCTTGTACTATAAAAATATTATAAAAATGCTTACCCATGAGAGGACCGTTTGGAATGACCGTAACCATCTGTGGTGACCTTGGTACATGCTCGTCGAGTAGTCTGACAATGTCGTGATGCAACCTTTCGCTAGCGACATCGCGAGGTAACCGGTCCATGTGATCGGTAATCTCTCTGTTGGCGAACGTATCCAGCAGCGCTTTGCATGCTTCAAAACTACCCTCGCGGGCTGCTAAGAATAATGGAGTTTCGTCTTTGTCATCTTGAGCGTCTCTGTTCGCGCCATGCACCAACAGTATGTTCACTGCGTCGACGTTGTTTACTGCTGCAGCCCAGTGCAATGCCGTCTTGCCGCTGTTATCGGCAGCATTAATATCGGCATCGGCATTAATGAGGTCTTCTACCATTCCCTCAGTGGCTAGACGTGCCGCCAATATTAACGGCGTAGTACCATCGTGCATACGTGCGTTCAAATTCGTTGCCCGATTACGCAATAGGATTTGGAAAACTCCCATAGCGTCTGCCGCAACGGCAGAGTGCAACGGTGTACGACCAGTGTTATCCTGTGAATTAGCATCTGCGCCAGCGTCCAATAATCTCTTGGCCGCATCAGCTCGGGCGTAACGTGCCGCCAGATGTAGCGATGTCTCGCCGCTTTTGTCTGTAGTAGCGTTCAAATCGGCACCTTGGGCAACTAAATCAGCGATCACCGCTGCTGTACCGTCGCTCTCATCTTCCTCTTCACCGGTATCGAGTCCACCGCCGCGCACCGCCGCTACCATTAATGGCGTCATGCCGCATGGACCACGCGCATCCACATCCTGACCATGCTCGAGACTCGGTGGCGTTAGTACACCGCCTGCGTCCGGTCGTCGTATCTCGGCCGCATCCAGATGTTGTTGCGTCCACATACGTGGCTCGGTCTCTTCATAATCAGTGATGACGGTATGATCGCTCGCGTAACCTGGCTCGATGGCACGCATCCGCTTCGACGGCGGCAAATCAGATTCATCGTCGGACCATTGGGATTGCACTCGAGCATTCACAACATCCATACTCATACAGTTTACCGATGGCTGTTTGTTCAGATTACGCATCTCTTGGCCATCCGGACCGCGCCGACGCGATCGGCGTCGTTGACCACTGCCGCTGCTGGTTCTTAAAAAACCTTCGGGGAACCATGTGACTCCAACGGCACGCTTTCGTTGCGCAGTCACCAGGACGCCCACTAACAGTCCGCCGAGCACCACAATGACTACACCGATAAAAACGTATTTATAATTTGTCGGAGTATCCGGATAGTCTGGACCCTGGGGACCCAGGACACTTCGCACTTGTTCGATGGGAAAGCTCTGCGATAAGGAATGTTTTGATGCAGTGGCAGCCAAATACTCGGCCGCCTCGTTCGCTGATGGAAAGCATACCGCGCTCTGTGACAATGTGCATTTGCGATTGTCAATTTCTAGGTAAGCAATCACGCCGTTCTTATTATTAGAATGGATCATTGGTCGACCAAACATATTAGTATGAATGCTAAGCTCTCTTTCCTGTTTCCAAGGATATATCATATCGTTGCCGAGTTCATCCTGTTTAATACGAATCGTCGTTCTCAAATGATGGCCAATATCACGTAAAAAGCTTATGATATTCGAACGGAAGGTCTGCATGTCCATCCTTACGACTACGGATATGAC